AGGAAAAGGAGGGGGGGGGTCTATAGAAAAGTGTGCAATATTCATTCGGGGCGTACTTGGCCGCTCTAGTTTCAGGATATCACACTTAGGGAGGGCTCATTTATTGACATGGGGGCGAACATGGGGGTCCACGGCGTACTCAAATGACTACATTGACATTCTATAACGTTTAGTACGTTTAGTCTTTGTCAAATCCAGCAAAACGTTCGACACGGTTTGTATCCTGTCGCACCCAACAAGCCGGATTTTTTTTTTCGTATTTATGTTCCATGTCGCGTGTCATACGTATATAGGGTGGCGCACATACCCCAGAACACATTAAAGTTACACTGTACTGGCGTGTAGGATACTTGGCCTACTCTCTGGGGGCTCTAAGACACCGAGATGTGTAACTGTATACAGGGTGGGTGATCCGCGCCGTGGTTTTTTTCTGCTTATACTGTACCGCATTCATGCGTGCGGACGGGTTGCATACTCGCACGGGGCCGTAAGGTGCCATGGCGAGCGACGATAGGCAAGCCCGCCCGCACGTATGAATCCGGTACAGCATAAGCAGAAAAAAACCACGGCGCGAATCACCCACCACCCACCCTGTACAAACCCGCCTGCACAGCTGTAATGTTGGTGCAGTATATCGACCGGTGTCTGTGGGCCACACTACATACCAACTTATTTCCAAATCAAACTGGTAGAATAGACCAGTTTATACGTGGGACATCATTGCTGCTTTGAGTCCTTTGAGTCCATCACTAGCACCCCCTTCGTTTGCCTTCCGGTTTAGTGCAAGAGCAAGAAATTTTGATACATAGGTTCTTAAAACCATTTAGAATGGTCCCGTCCCGTCCCGTCGCCCATTTCGATTGTTCACCGATTTGGAATTCACGGTGACAAGCCCCTGTACGACATTTGTTCAAGCTTTAACGCTCATAAGCCTCGTTATAAGCACTTTTGCAAAACATACTGGGGTTGTTTCTGACTAAGTTCACCTCGCTGCCATCAGATAGGCACTTTTGGCCTTTTTTGAGCTTTGGAAGTGTGCAGGAGGCAATAATAAACTCATGAGTTGCCAACCCGCCGGGGGTACACACACATGTCGTCTGCATGCTTTCACATGGGTGACAAATGTTTACAAAATGAGAAATCAAGAAGTTATTGCGGCCACGAACTCATAACGTTACACTGGAAATGCGAGTGTGTGAATGTCGCTCACCTGCAGGTGAGCGACATTCACACACTTGCAGGTGTGAATTTTTCCTAGAAAATTCACACTTTTACCCCCTAAGTGTACGAATGGAATGTCGCTCACCTGCAGGTGAGCGACATTCACACACTTGCATTTCCAGTGTATCCAACAAGTTAGTCAGCAGTCATAAATGTTGTGAAAATGCAATCTTAAGGAATATTAAGAATGCCACGATCGACACACGGGGATTACCTCGGTGATTACTTGGAATTCATTCATAGCTCATTCGAATCGACCAAAGACAACATACAAAAGTCCGCTCGGCGCCGCAAATGCTCAAGCCCAACTCTCCCCATCCGGTAAAAAATGAAAAATGGGGGAGTACGCCCCTCACCCCACAGTCAGCGGCGACTTCTGAGTTCGGAACGGGATCAGCCGCTTCTAACCACAGTGATCAGAACATACCCCCGGGTGTTGGACTTACAGGTGTCGCAAGGTGAGCAAGACTGAAACCCAGATTCAGAGGCCTTACCATCAGGGGTACGCGGGAATCGAACCCACAACCCCGAGTGCCGAGTCAATTTGACAGTATACAGCGACCCTGCCACCAGAGCTACCAAGCCAACGGAGATGAGCCGTGTTCCGATTCTACTTGAACTTCAGGTCGGCCCCAAGGCCGTACATCAGCCCCCCCCCCCCCCACGGAAAAGCCAAAAATCTTTCCGAACCGTCGACCCTCTGGGCGGGTGCTCTATCGACCGAGGGGGTATTCACTTCCGTAATATCCTGTACATTCCACCTGGGTATTACTTGTAATGTAATACCGAAAAATAACAAAAATGCTATAAATTGGCAAAATTTTGCGTGTAATACCGGCGTAATACCCTGTAATACCAGGTAATTCTGTGTAATACCGAGTACTCTGTACAAGTTTTATGGTAGTGAATACCCCCTCGCTATCGACTGAGGACAGCCATAGAGGCGAGATGCAGGCTGTCGCTCCAGGGGACGATCCATTCTACGCGGTGCCTGATGGCTAAAAATGTCTAAGCGTGTATGAAATTTTTTGTTCCCACAACATGTACTAATGTGTGCGGGGAATAGCATATCACACTGTGAAAAATAATGTTCGTTCACATGCATACTGTCCATGCCAAGACATGCCAGTACGTTGGGTTGCCTATGGACTGGCTGCAGGGGCTGCAGGTGCGGGCGGGTGGCGGAGGAGTGAGGGAAGCTGCCACTTCCCCGCCACCCGTCCCGCGCCTGCGCCCCTGCAGCCAGTCCATAGGCAACCCAACGTACTGGCATGTCTTAGCCTGGACACCCGGCACATACGTGTGTACGTAAATTAGTAAATTACAAGATTAGGGGGTAAACGTGTGAATTTTTCCTACAAAATTCACACGTTTACCCCCTTAAGTGTACGAATGGATATACACACACCTGCAGGTGTGTGACATTCACACTTTTGCGTTGCCAGTGTAACAATGTTACAGAATTTTGTACTGATTTGTTTTAGAGTGTGGTGCCTAACTAGGTTAAACGTCAATTGGTGTTTAAACTTTCGACACTTCCTAAAAATACAGCACACCACCGCACACCATATGGTTATAATTCCTATAAATTTGGGTGAGTCCAAGTGTGCAGCATTTAAACGTTTACAGAACGTTTAAGATGTGCACACCATGCATGTGTGCAGCTTGAGTTA